TTCCCAATTCGCGCTGTATGAAAGTAACATCATCATATTTCCATCAATAGCTTGTAAGGTTTGATGGCGTAATTTTTGTAACGTACAGTGGCGTATCATTTTTTTGCACAAGTTTCAATAGTCTTTGCTTTTTTGTGAACTAATGCCTCTTGTGCTCCACCGCAACAATTCTCGAATATGTGACACTTGCAGTCTTCTCTTATTCTAGTTGCGTTAAAAAAGTCACCAGCTACTTCACATGTCCAAATTGTAACCATAACTGAAGTAAAACTTTTTTTCTATAATGTAAAATCATCATTTTTTTCTCTTTTTGTTATTTTTCATCATTTCCAGTAATTTTAATAAATTATTTTAACATCTACATAATGTTCTAGTTGAATACACCAATCTGCCACCATACCTTACAACTTTCGAAAATAAAACAAATCAATGTTTTGCGCCAAGAGCTGAAAAATTTCACTGAATTTAAATTTTAACAGCCGCTTCTGACAGAAATATGCTTAATAGATGTCAGCAACTGCCTGCTTTTGAAATTTTAAAAAATATTGATTTTTGAGAGAGAGATGTAAAAAACAAAGTGTGTATTTTCTAATAAAAATTGATTTAAAAATTAATTTTAGTCCAAATTTTAGATAATAATTGAATTTTGAAAAAATTTCAAATTCAAATCTTTAAAAATTTGAATTTTCATACTTTTAACTAACAAATTTTGTAAAATTAATTGTTTTGAAAAAGTTTAAATGTATTTTTTTGAAAATATTTGAAGTTTTTATTCTCTAATATATTTATAATTAAAGAATTTTCAAATAATCGAAATTTCGTAGAATTTAATTGTAAACAAGTGGATTAGATATTCCTCAAAGAACACTCAGAAAAAAATTTGTTCGAAACAACCAAATTTTGGTTGAATTAACCAAATAAATGCATTGCTATACAGTGAACCAAACGTTTGTTTGATTTAACCAAAAAATTTCTTCCAATACGTTTATTTGTATTAACCAAATGGTTATTACACTTAACCAAAAAATTTTATTTAATATAACTAAAAAATTTGTTTATTTCAAGAGAAAAGATTTGTTTGATTCAAATAAATAGTTTTAGTAAACGTATTTGGTTCATTTAAATAAATATTTTTGTTTACTTAATTTTGTTATTTATTTTCCTCTAATAATATTTGAATTTCCTAATTTAATATTTTCTAGTACATATTATTGGTTAATTTATAATTTATTATATAATTATTGATATTTTAAAATTATACATATAATAAATTATAAATTAACCAATAATATGTATACTAGAAAATATTAAATTAGGAAACTCAAACATTATTAGAGGAAAATAAATAACAATTAAGTAAAATATTATATATGTATTTCTTCATATAAACAAAATTACTTAATTATAAAAAACATTTTAAATATTACATTAAACATATTATAATTATGATTTTTATACGTGCACTCAGAAAAAAGTTTATTCGAAACAACAAACTGAAAACTTCACATAACCTTTTTGTAAATATTCTTCTCACTGGTACAAATTAAATATGCAGTAAGTCAATGAACACAATGTATTTAATATTTATTTAACCGACACTTATATTTTTTTTCTTTGATTTACCGATTTAACAAATAAATTTGACGCGAACGCGGACTGTAGACAAGTGAGATCGTCATTTTTAACCCCTTGGCAGTCGATGACGTGTATACACGTCATGATGCAGGTGGGCTCAAACTGTCGATGACGTGTATAGACGCAAGCAGATTTTTGTCTACAAAAACACACAGATTTGTCCACAAATTTATACTCGGGGGTTTTCGGGGTCGCTGATTACGAATCCATTTTCAGATTTGAAAAATTCAAAATGGCGAATCTAATATGGCGGACGACATTTTCAAAAACTCATCCGATTCATTTAAAACTCGTTACTCGGGCGTTTTCGGGGTCGCTTATTACAAATCTGATATCAGATTTTGAAAATTCAAAATGGCGGATCCAATATGGCGGACATTTTCTGAAATTCATCGGATTCACTTGAAACAATTTACTCGGGGGTTTTCAGGGTCGCTGATTACGAATCCGATTTCAGATTTAAAAATTCAAAATGTCGGATCCAATATAGCGGACGACATTTTCAAAAACTCGTCCGATTCATTTAAAACTCGTTACTCGGGGATTTTCAAGGTCGCTGATTTCGAATCCGATTTCAGATTTTAAAAATTCAAAATGGTTGATCCAATATAGCGGACGACAATTTACAAACTCGTCCGATTCATTTAAAACTTGTTACTCGGCGGTTTTCGGGGTCGCTGATTACGAATCTAGCATAAGATTTTCAAAATACAATGTGGCGTTTCGAATATGGCTGACGCCATTTTAAAAAATTTATTAAATGAATCCGATAAATTTTAGAAAATTTCATTCGCCATATTGGATCCGCTTTTTTGAATTTTCAAAATCTCAAATCGGATTCGTAAATTAGCGACCCCGAAAACCCCCAGGTAAAAAGTTTTAAGTGAATCCGATGAATTTTAGAAAATTTCGTCCGCTATATTGGATCCGACATTTTGAATTTTTAAAATCTGAAATCGGTTTCGTAATCAGCGACCCTGAAAACCCCCGAGTAAAAAGTTTCAAGTGAATCCGATGAATTTTAGAAAATGTTGTCCGCCATATTGGAACCACCATTTTGAATTTTCAAAATCTGATATCGAATTCGTAATCAGCGACCCCGAAAACCCCTGAGTAACAAGTTTCAAATAAATTCAGTCGATTTTTAATTTTCATGTCCGCCATATTGGATTCGCTATTTTGAATTTTCAAAATCTGATATCGGATTCGTAATCAGCGACTTCAAATACAATAGTATGCTCGTTTGCGCAAATTTTAGTTTTCTAAAAATTTGTCGACATTTTGAGCCCACTTATGAGATTTTGGTCTTGACTGCGAAGGGGTTAAATTCACACATGTACTTTTTGAGACAAGCAAATATTTTTGTTTGACTCAAATAAAATGATTTGGTTGAATCAAACAAATTTGTGTGTTGTGTCGAACAAACTGTATTTAACTAAACAATATTCTCTATTCAAAACACAAATTTGGTTAAATGAAACAAACAACTTCAAATAAAAAATTTCTTTCCAATAACCAAACAAATTTTACGTATTTATTAAAATAAACCAAATTTTAAATTTAAATCAACGAAATTGTTTTATCGTAACAAATAAAATAGGTTAATTAAACAGTTTGGTTAAGTGAAATAAACTTTTTCTCTAAGTGAACTTTTGTAAAAATTATCTAAATAATTGATATAAAGAAGAATTTTAGTTAAAAATTCTAGAAAATAATAATTAATTTGAAAATAAAATTTTGAGGTTTAAAGACCTTTGGGAAAAAGGTTTTCAGAAAAATTGTATATTCGGGAAATTTAGTTTTCGGGAATTTGGCTTTCGGGTGTTTGGATTCGGGAATTTGACCGGATACCATTTTGATATGATATTTATATGATGTTATTATTCGGTCATCTTTAATTATGATAAAACATAGAAAAATAATAATGATTAAATATTTATTTAAAAATGAAGTTAATGATTTTTTCGAATAATTTTACAATTAAAGAAATTCGTAAATAAATGTAATAGAATATTTTTTTGAGTAACTAATTATTTTTAGAGTGAATTAAAATAGTCTTTAGAGTCAGGGAAAAAGTCAAAATTTTATTTGAAAACCCAGGGAAAAGTCAGGGGAAAACAAAATTAAATTTTTGTGGAAACCCTGTAGTATAGTTACAGTGTCAATTTTTAGAAATTTTTTTATTCTCGTACAACTTTTTCATAAGAAATGATTTGAAAAAGAATTTCAGTTCAAATTTTAGAAAATATTTGAGACTATTAGAAGAATTGTAGTTCCAATTTTGAGATATAATAAGGTTTCAAAAGGTTTAAACATTAAAATTATTTTGAAATTTGAAAAATTTTATTTACAAATTCTAAAAAGATTATGTTTTTGAAAAATTTTAATGAAACATTTTTGAAGATAATATTGAATTCCCTGAAATAATTTTAAAAAATTTCAACTTTTTATAGTAATAATTATTAAAAAGACGTCTAAAAGTAAAAACATGTGTTGGTTTTGGTTAGTGGCCTGTTGTCCCTGTAAAATTTGACCCTATTGCCCTTGTCAATCATCATTTTTAGAGACGTCATGATTTCAGATCCTTTTTATAGTCATAGTTGGGAATAGTACTTGTAAGTAAGAAGTTTCTGATTGTCAGGTAATAATTTTGGGTATTTTACAATCCAATCAGAAATAAATTCACTTTAGGTTACCCAACCCCTAATATTTTTGCTCTACCCAGCCTTGTTTATTTTTCTTTTATCGATTTTCCCTCCAAAATTTTCCGCTATGTGCTTGAAAGGAACAATAAGAACGAGTGGCAGTTTTTTTCGTTTTTTTTTATTAAAATTATTGACAGTAATTGTTTTGTGATTGCATATGACATGTGAACTTTTGAACTCGGAAAATGTCGAAAATGTGATTCTCTAGTGAGGTAAAATACTTGACGTACCAACAACCATGAACCAACGTTGATAATTTCATAATCTGCAATTAAGCATTTAACCATGAATTTTCGTGAATGAAAGAGTCGCATCACCTCAATCGCATTCTGAGCCTTTAATTTCCTCTAACGGGTTCAGGGCGGATTTCAAGAGGAGAGAGAGAATTTTACGGGACGAAATAGGTTAGCGAAGTTTCAATTAAATTCTCCAACGAGGCGCATAGAAATAACGCTACAGAGTGACAATTTCACAAAGTGAACCAAACGCGGCCTTAATGGTTAGTCTTTGAAAATGCATTTTTTTACTTCAGTCTAGAAGTTATTATTGATAATGAAAAGAGATGGTAATTTTTAGATTATGTTTGTCAATCTGCTTATTTGATTAGTGTACAAAGTGAAAATAGAGTATTCAGGAAATTTTTTGAATTTCTTTCAACAGGGCGATAAAAATTTGGAAAATGTAACGCACGAAGAAGCTGTCGCAACATTAAAAGCAACGCAGGATCGAGTAGTTCTCTTGGTAGCAAAACCAGAAGGAGCACTTCCACCACCACCGGCTTCGGATCGTTCGCTGTCACCACAACCTCGTAAGTTTCTTTCCTTCTTTTTTCTTCGAAATGATTCGCCTTTGAAATTTAAGATCCATTGCGAAAATATACTTCAATTAAGATAAAAGCACTGGGTTGACTTTTAGGGCTATTAAGTTTTGTACAGTTGCTCCGAGGGTGTTACATTTTTTAAAAGCTCTTAAAACCCATGTCTGATAAAAAAAATAACGGAAATTCAATTACAGAAAAGAAAGAAAAAGAAGAGAAACTCGTATTAATCATGTAAAAATCGAAAAGACATAATTTATACCCTTTTTCATTTTATTATTTATTATACAGGGTTGCCGCAGGTCAGGGAAAAGTCAGGGATTTTTATTAAAAGTACTGGAAAAAATTAAATGTTTAGAATTTACAAGAAAATTCTGAATTTTTGTTTGTCTCATAAACTATAAAATTTCCACGAATTTTAAAAAAACCTTCAATTTTTTCTATTTCTGACAATAATTTCTTTTAAATAGGTAACTTAATTTTATTGAAGAACTGACATAAAGTTATTACTTATAAATCATTTAGTGAAGTATTTTTTTGAAAAACTTTAATTTCAATTCTGTTGAAATTAGTTTCAATTTTTAAAATTTTAACGCAATTATTTGAAAGAATTTAACTATCTTGATTATCTTGATTATTTTTATAAATAGCAAAATTCTTCGCCGAAATTCAATTATATTCAGGGATTTTTATAATATTCATTGTAAAATTCAATTATTTTCCTAAATAACAATATTCATCACAAAAATTCAATTATTTTCAAAATTAATAAAATTCTTCGCAAAATTCAATTATTTTCAAAGAATTCAAAAAAAATTGTCGACATTTCAATTATCTTTATAATTGAATAGCAAAATTCTTAGACGAAATTCAATGCTTTTCAGGAATTCTAATAAAATTCATTGCAAAATTCAGTTGTTTTCATAAATAATAATATTCGTCACCAGAATTCAATTATTTTTAAAAGTAATATAATTCAATTATTTTCAAAAATGTTAATAAAATTCATTGCAAAATTTCATTGTTTCCAAAATTTTTCTTAATTCAATTGATTTTCAATATTCTACTATTTTAATAAAATTTCTCAAAAGAATTCAATTATATAAAAACAATTTTGACAAAGTTCTAAAGGAATATTCAGTTATCTTCTAAAATAATAAAAATTTCACAGGAATTCAATTATTAAAGATATAATTTGTCAAGAGAATTCAATTATTTAAAATAATTTTGATAAAGTTCTAAACGACTATTCAATTATCTTCTAAAATAATGAAAATTTTACAGGAATTTAATTATTAATTAACTACATTTTTTCGACAAAAAATCAATTGTTGTAAACTTTTTTATAAAATTCTTCGTAATAATTCAATTATTTTCATGAATAATAAAACTTATTCCCGAATTTCAATTATTTTTTATACCTACAATTTTAATCAAATTCCTCAAAAAATGTAATTATTAATGAAAATTTTATTAAAATAAATTATTTACATTTGTATTTAAATAATTGAATTCTCGTAGAATTATCTAATAAAAATTGATGAACAAATTAATTTTATTTAATGTTTTAGATTTAACTTTGGAGAAGTTACTAATAATTGCAATTTTTAGAAATAATTGAATTTTGTAAAGGTTTCCAATTAAAATCTTTGAAAGTTCGAATTTTTCATACTTTTAATTGAAAATTCTATGGAACTAATTTTTTTCAAAAAGCTGAATCGCAATTTTTTAAAATTATTTCAAGTTTTTATTTTCTAATGTATATATTTAATCGAAGAATTTCCGAATAATCCAAATATCGTAAAACTGAATTGTAAACAAATGAATTTGAAAATTCTCAAAAGAACTTTATCATAAATTATTAGAATTTTATTTAAAAATTGTAGAAAATAATTATTGAATTAAACGATAAAAATAATTTTTAAGAAGTTACAGTAAAAATATTTTTATATTATAATATAAAATAATAATTTTTTCACTCGGTCACCTTTAATTATTATAAAACATGCAGAAATGAATCACAATCACGAGTCTTCGACTCGAAGTGATCCATTTCTTCATGTTTTATAATAATATTCTTTCAAGTTATTGAATTTCAAAAGGTTAGAATTTGAAATTTTTGAAATCTTTTTTCCTATGAAAAAATAATAATGATTAAAAAAGAAGTTAAGTTATTTATTGATATTTTCGAATAATTTTACAATTAAAGAAATTCGTAAATAAGTGCGATAGAACATGTTTTTTTGAGTATCTAATCATTTTTAAAGTGAATCAGAATATTCTTTAAGTTCAGGGAAAAAGTGAACATTTTTTCTAGAAATCAGGGGAAAAAAATATAAACTTTTGTGGCAACCCTGTTATAATGAAATTATTTATTTAGGTATACAAAATATATAATCAACTTTTAATGCAAAATTAAAATTTAATTAATAAAAATTCATTATTTATAAAGCGTGAATAATTCCACGATGAGAATTCATCTAAAGACAGAAATAATGAGACTACTCGTGAAAATACTTGAAATGTCTGCTGCAACAAACTTTGGGAAATTAAAACTTTTGTTTGAGGTTTTTTATATTCGTCTTTTATTTGAATCTCTAACGCTGTGTCCAGGTGTCTCGTTTCCTTCTCCACGTAAACGTTTTTAATAGAGCATTTCAAGTTCTTTGCGACGGATTTTATAAAGGTAGGAAAAAAAGTTTTGATTACTACTTTAACGAATGTCATTTTGCAGTCTATTATAAGACCCGTGATACTCAGATACACTGGAAATGTCGATATTTTCGGATTCATTATTGAAAATCGATTCTAGAATGAATAGTTTTATATTTCTTTTTTTAGATTCTCCGTTTGTTTTTATTTTAGTAACGGGGTTGCCACAAATCGGAGAAATTAGGGAAAAGTCACGGAAAATCAGAGAAATGTCAGGAAATTTTATAAAAACTTTGTTGTTTACTATATGCTTTTTTCTATAACAAATTTCGTTTGACTGATCTAAATTATGCAAAGTTTTCTCCTTTTCATTTATAAAAAATATGAGAATATTGTTAATTGTTAAAAAAAATTATAAATAAGAAATAGGAAATATACCCATTTTATGCATAATTTATATTTCTCAATAACAATATTGTTCAGAAACTCATTCTTTTCTTTTGGAAAAGAAACATTACATATTCTATTCTATTTGTCAATTACAAATTTTAATTGAAAATCAAATTGAATCTTTTTAAATTTTTAGAAAATAAAGGAAAAAATTTTACTCAAAAAAATGTTCTGTTTCATTTATTTACGAATTTCTTTAATTGTGAAATTAAATAAACATCAATAACTTTTTTTTAAATAAATATTTAATCAACATTATTTTTCCATATAGGAATTAAGAATTTCAAAAATTTCAAATTTAAATCTTTTTAAATTCAATAACTTATAAGAATATTTTTATAATAATTAAAGAAAGATGACCGAGTGATAAAATCATTGTTTTATACTTTAAGAATATTATTACAGTAACTTTTTCAAAATTATTTTCATCATTTCAAATCAATTATTATATCCTACAATATTTTTAATTATTTTTTATGAAAATAATTTAATTGCTTAAAAAAATCTTATTATTTACAAAAATAATTGAATTATTGCGAAGGAATTTATAAAAAATTTGTAAATAATTGAATTCCTGAGAAACTTTTATTATTTATGATAATAATTAAATGTTTGCGTACTATTTTTGGGAATTTGAAATTGGTTTGAAAATAATTGAACTTTGGGGAAGAATTTTGTTATTTATAAAGATAATTTGGATTTTGACGAGAATTTTTAAAAAATTTTGAAAGATAATAATTGATAGAAAAAAGTCTGTCACTGATTCAAATAGTGATATTTTCCTAACGAAATAGTTAATGGTAACTATAATTATTAGTTTTTCCCAGTCAAATTTAATTCCCGTCTATTTCCCGGTTGGTAGACACCCTTTCAAATGTATTAGCAGAAACTAAAACCCGTCGAAGACGCGTACGCGTCCGACAGCTAGTTGTTTAATAAAATATATTGCATAAAATCTGTGATAATTTTGCTTAAGAACTTAAACCAATCTGTGAGAACTGCTAACTTGTTTACATAACAAAAGGTTATGTTTACTCAAACGCTGGTCAGTCCGACATTTGAAGTTACATCACCAGTCGACTATATTTAGTGGGAGGATAAAATAGGGGAAAGATGAAACTAAAGGACCTTGAAATTAAACGCGTTCTACTGCATGCTATCAACATGCGGTTCGTACAGTGCTGCCACCTTCAAACAGACAGATTCTACATATATCTTGCATTTCTGCGCTATATTTTTGACTCATAGTTGTTCTTTGGCATTCAAAAGAAACTGTATATTGTTTGACCTATGTTTAGTACTTTCGTTTTATATTACATTTGCAATAATTAAACCTATAAGTGGTCATTATCCCTTGTTAAATTTCTTAACTAGTTTTCTTTTCTGTGTATTTTTGTTGCATGATAATATTATTGTGTTTGTTTATTTATTCAAAGTCATTATTTGGAATAACAATGACAAACAAATTAGTGAATGAATTGCAGTTTTGTTTGAGTGTAAATTTAAGTAATCTGCAAGAGTGCGTGTAAGGTTGGATGAAAAAAGTAAACACTTGATTTTGTTTCACCTAAGTGCGGGAGAAAAATGAATTTTCGATCTTAAGAAGGAGGAAGCCCTCGCGCTTTTCGTTTCACTCCGAAGACCAAGCACCATTTTCCTCGCTACACTGTCGATCGATATAATTTATTCATTGGCGTTATAAAGCGGAGGTCGTAAAGTTTACCTCATCCCTTGGACCACGTCAAGAACATACTAGGAAGCGCGACCAACTTTTGGCATTACGTCATAACGGAATTCAAATAGCTCCTTTAAAACGACCCCTCTTGTGCTTGCAACCAAACCCCTTCCTGGTGCCTCGCGAATCGTTCGAGCTTCTCTAGACTCTTGGAAGAAGTTTTATATTTCTCCCCTACACTTAAATTACGAGTTTCAAGGGCAAAAATTTTCTTTAAAAAAACTTGAAAAATTATTCATTCATTCTTTATTTCACTTTAAAAAAAGAAAAAATGAAATAATTGACTGAAAATTTTTCTCGCAATGGAAATTTGAGTATTTATTAAATTTTTTTATTTTCAAATGGATTTCTTTATACTCTTCTTTTTTAACTTTTTTCCTTATGGTTGTATTCTTGTATTTCTTTTTTTCATTTCATTAACTTGTTACTTGTTATTTTTCTGTCAAGGAAAACAAAATGGCTCTGTCTTGGCGTTGGAGAACAATTCACTGGCGTATTCGCAGGAATCGCGTCATGCATCTTCGCTTGCTCTTCATGGAACCGGGACACCTCGCGCCGTATCTCAGGAAGACGTGTCAAGGTAAGTTCCAAAACTGTTTTTTTCTACAGTAGGTATATAAAGCGCTAGGGAAGTTTTTTTCCTACATCACTTTGATAACTAAGTCGCTCATTTACCCATGTTGCGAAACTTCAAAGCGAAGTTCTCTTGGGAATTCCATGAAAAATAAAGGAAAACGATTTTGAAATTTCACTCGAAAAAATACCTGTTTTCAAAATTTACGCGTTTAATTACTTTGCATTGCGAATTTTATGCAAATAAGATCGAAGGTTTTCCGGGTCGCTGCTGATTACGAATATGATATCAGTTTTTAAAAATTAAAAATAGCAGATCCAATATGGCTGAAGATTTTTCAGAATTGATGAAATTCGCTTGAAATTGGTTTTTAGGGGGTTATCAGAGTCGCTGATTACGAATATAAACATCAATTTTTCAAAATTCAAAATGTCGGTTTCAATATAATAATTGTATAATTTGACTGAAATTTTTTCGAGGCGCATACACGGAAAAAATCTTGGGTGACGTGCCGTTCCAAGTAGACCGAAAATGTACGAATGCGATACGACTTTAGTTTGGAGGAGCTGCATTTCCAACTTGGGCGTGCTGAACGCCCAAGATGCGGCTATTGCAGTCCCAAGGTTTTGAGTCTCAAATCTTGGGTGTTCAGCGCCACCAACATGGGAACGTAGATTTCCCGAATTGAGAACGTAGCACATCCAAACTATAGTTCCTCCAATTTCCGACGATTGGGATTGCACGTCACCCAAGATTTTTTCCGTGTAATTATTCTTCAAATGTCATTTGATCGAACTGATATTTTACCGAACCGCATTTATCCGAACTGTTATTTTAACGAAATGTCACTTTTGCGAATCGCCATTTTTACGAATTGTCACTTTTGCGAAAAGTTATTTTTGCGAATTGTCATTTATGCGAACTGCCATTTATTCGAATTGTCATTTTTACTAAATGTCATTGTTGCGAATTGATATTTTTGCGAAAATTGCTATAGTAGACTTGTATGCATATGTAGATTTACTATAGCAATTACAATGACAATTACAATTACAATTACAATTACATTACAATGACATTTCGTGAAAATGACAATTCGAATAAATGGCAGTTCGTATAAATGACAATTCGAAAAAATGAAATTTTGGAACAATAACTATTCGTAATAAAGACAATTCGTAAAAATGATATATCGCAAAAGTGACAATTCGTAAAAATGTCGATTTGCAAAAGTGAAAAAATTATAGTTCTTGTTAATTTTTAGTTTTGTCATATTGGACCCGTAATTTTGAATTTTACAAAACTGACGTTTCAAGCGAATTCCATCAATTTTGAAAAATCTTCAGCCATATTGGATCCGCCATTTTAAATTTTAAGAAACTGATGTCAGATTCGTAATCAAGGGGTTAAAAATGTCTCTTAGCATCATAAAATTACTGTTCTAAAACATTTTTAAAGGAGCATGTAAAAAAAGTTACAGAACTTTTATATTAACTCATTGTAATACGCGTTACGAAAACTTTAGACGCGTTTTTCTCGAAAATACATTTTTGAAAACGGAGAGACACTTTTCTCAAAATCTACAGATTCTTATGAAGAGATTTCCGTTTGAATTTTTAATTTATGTAATATAGGTTGCTCAGAAACTGTCTCCTTGAATAAAATGTACTTTTTGAAAGACGCCACCTACAGTTGCGAAAATGAACTAAAAATACTAAAAATACTAAAAAAAAAAAAGCATCCAGACACTCAATTATTGTGAAATTATAATTTTAATAAAAAATTAATGAAGCTGAAACTGGCATCCAGTTGACAACGTCCAGTTAATTTAAGGGGACATTCCAGTTCAAAACAGGCTTTAGGTGTGGAACCTCAAAAAAGTGGAATTTTCTTCCTCCCATTTTTTTAGAGTACTTTTCCCCCAAAATATGCAAAAAAAAGGTGTTTTTATTCAGAATTTCTCTTATAAAAAAAGGGGAATTAGAAATTTTCCAGTTTTTGAGGTTCCACTTATAGGCATGATGACGCTGAATGAAAAGCCGTTTAATTTTTTAAAATCACTTCAGAAGAACTCGAGATATCACTTTTACCAGATCAAAAAAAGTCAGTTTGAGAAAAACGCATTTAAAGTTTTTGTTCATAAGTTTCGAAATTTAAAAAAAAAATCATCGGCTTTGCTTAAACATCGTTACTCGGGGGTTTTTGAGGTCGCTAATTACGAATATGGAATCAGATTTTTAAAATTTTTTAAATTTTTAATGGCGGATCCAATATGGCGGACATTTTTTTTCAAAATCATTGGATTTGCTCGAAAATCGTTACGGGGGAGTTTTTGAGGTCGCTGATTGCGAATATGACATCATTTTTTCAAAATTAAAAATGGCGGATGCAATATGGTGGACAAAAAAAAATTAAAATAAAAAAATGTTCTTTGCCGCCATATTGGATCTACCATTTTGAATTTGGAAAATTTAATATCTAATTTGTGATCAGCAACACCAAATACATTTTTCTTCATACCTCGGTCGAAAGTACGTACTTCCCTCTGCGATTTCGCAGCAGAAAGTCAAACATTTGTGCTTTGGTTGATTTTCATACCCGCTTGGTGGCCAAAAGGCTAAATTGCCATTTTGCTAAACCACGCACAGCAAAACTGTTTTACCGACTGAGTGTTTCGAACCTAACCTCTTACTGTGTAAAATTTTAATTTAGCGAAATGGCAATTTAGTCTTTTGGCCACCAAGCACCCAACCTCTATTACAGCGGGAGTAAAAGAATTCTCTGTCGGTAAATAAGAAAATTTCGAGTCAATGAAAATTTAACGAATAATTGTTATCGCAATATAAAATGAGATAAAAAATTATCAAGAAAACTTTTTATACTTTATTGTCCACAAGCTCTGAATATTGAAATGAACGAAATCTTTTGCTGATATAATTATTTTCAAAACTTATTTTAATAAACATTACCCGTGCAGAAAAATGGTGAGGGCCCCCGGCGGGGCCCTCGTGGATTGCCCTCTTGCCATGTGGAATCCGTAATGGCAATCCACGCGGAGCCCTCGAAGGCGTGACATGCTTTCCCTCATGGGTGCCCTCGAGGAAAATCCTCATGGATTCCATATGGATTTTCCACGCGATGCCCTCGTGGATTTCATAAAATGCGCTCAACTTTATTTTCAATTAAATTAATAAATTAATAATTTATTAATAACAAATTAGTCCAATTATTGATAAATAACATTCTTATTTAACAATTTTTACTTTTTTTAATTAAATCGTGACCAAAAAAAAAACTGACTCACGCGGGAATTGAGCCTACGACCTACTAACTACCAGACAACACTCTTACCACTATGTTTTTTTTTTTTTTAAATCACTTTATTTAATAACAATAATATAATTACATAGGAACAAGTAACAAGTTCAATATACAACTAATAAATTTATCAGTCTTATAGGTCAAATACAAAAGAAACGGCAGTGTAACACTGCGCTCGCAGACGCGACATTGTTGTATTTCGATAGTAATGGTATTCTTCATTCATACAACATTTTACGGAAAAAGAAAAAGTGAAGACAAAAGTCTAACTATAACTCTCTTTTAAATCAAAATAGGATGTTTTGACAAAAAAAACACATATCTTGTCGCATTCTTCGTAGTCTTATCATTTTTATCTCTATGAGCCAGCGCCCTAGAGAGCACCATTTTGATTGTGTTATCCCTAATTAAGTCATGTTTATTATAGATTATCTTTCCGCTATACATATGTCTTGAAATATGGTAAATTATGGGCACATTACAATCATTTTGAATGAAACCTTCTTTGTCTAGAATAGGGAATGCCTCGACAGGCAGGTGACCCTTCGCGATTATATTTTTGATTACATTGTTATTATTTGTGGTAAAAGGTAATGCAATAAACGGATTTTATATATTTTTAATTGCTTTCGCAATATGATTTCTGGTTAATTTTAATATATAACAATCAATCCTGTGAATTTTCGCTTTATTATATATTTTTTGATTTGAAAACATAGTTAAATAATTAGTTGAAGGGTCACGATGCATGCCGAGGCAATCCCTCAGACATGTGCGTCCAAAGGCCCTCATCCTTTCCATGGTAATGACTCTTACCACTATGCTACGGAACCTACATAAAAATTATTTTCTTATTGTACGTGACTTGATGATTCAATAAATTATTTATTGACACTAATACATCATGACAAATAATTAAATAGTTTAATAATAATAATAACAATATTAATAATATAGTAATAGACCATAAATATTCATAAATTAATATTTTTATCATTTCAAAAATAAAAAAAAATGTCAAAACATTTGTGTTAAAAACGCGTTTTTCATAGTTTAAAATCATTATAAACATTAATTTTTTTATATAAAAAAATTTTTTTTTTTGGACTTAGAAATTTTTTCTAAGTTAATGATGTGGGTAATCCATGAGGACCCCTCGCGTGGGCCCTCATGTGAGTTATATTTTTTAAAAAGTAACATTAAATATTTGTTAAAAACGTGTTTTTAATTGTTTAAAATCATTATAAACATTAATTTGTTGATGTAAAAAAAATATTTTGTTTGGACTTAGAAATTTTTGGTATAATCAATGATGTGGGCGATCCACACGGGCCCCTCGCGTGGGCCCTCAAGGATTTGCCCTTAGGTAAGTTCAATATTTTCAAAAAAAGTAACATTAAATATTTGTTAAAAACGTGTTTCTCATTGTTTAAAATGATTGTAAACAATAATTTTTTGTTGTAAAAAATATTCGTTGTTTGGACTTAGAAAAATTGTTGAGCAGGGCATTCATAATGGCTAAGAGCAGGGGCCCTGCTGGTGCCCTCGTGGATTTCTCCTCATGGATCTTCCACGTGGACCCCCAACGGGGGCCTCGGAGCTGATATTAGAGAATACGTTAGTTCTTCTTCCCTGCTCCTCAATTGTGTTCATTAGAACGTTTAGAATTTTAGAAACATAAAATT